TTGACTCATTAATCTTTGCAAGTTTTACTTCTCTTTAGATGTTAAACTTAGTGAAAATTTTTATTATTTTTTAGTAGTGAAGAAATACTTTACTACCGATCTACTTGTAATACTATTACTTGAGAAAATTATTTTTATTTAATTTGTTTTTTTGCATGAATGCATAATATGAAATAAACAGTGGGAAGAAAGGGGAAAATATAGCGACAAAGATTAATTTACAAAAGCAAAACTATCAACCTTATCATCATTCAAACCTATTATTCATTCTTTAAAATTCAAAATGAACAAGCAATAAATATTTCTGTCTGTCTTCCACCTATTTTGACTTAACTTCTACAGAAAAAGCTCAAACTCATGATTTGTACAAACACGTGGTTGGAAAAACGCATTTGAACCTATCTCTTGATATCTAGGAGATATATAAGCTACAATTAAACAGTATGTTAATGTGGAAGGACTTGTCTAGTTATGATAACCATGCATGGAAATTTCAAACTCCACATCTTCCCTTCATTTTTTTATAGAGAGCCAACAAAACATGAAGAATCCTCATATCCTAATTTCACTCATTTTTCCTACCTTGTTTTTCTTCTCATGCTTTGTATCTCTTGTGCTATCTTTTTCCCCTTCTTATACTGATCTCCAAAACCAGTGCCTTGATGACCAGAGATCTACTCTGTTGCAATTGCATCGTGATCTTTACTATGCTCCAAATTTTACTTTCTCTACCGAAGTTGAGCTTTGGGATCTCAACACTAATTGTTGCTCTTGGAAAGGAATTACATGCGATGCTCTTGGTCATGTGATTGGGATTGATCTCAGTTACAAAAATCTTTCAGGCAGCTTTCACTCCATTTTCAATCTCCATCATCTTCAACGCCTTAATCTTGCTGGAAACAATTTTAATTCCACTCTGTTTCAATATGAGTTTGACAAACTCCCATATTTAACTCATCTCAACCTTTCAAACTCATGTTTCCATGGCCAAATTCCTGTGGGGATTTCATACTTAACAAGGTTAGTCTCTCTTGATCTATCTAATCAAGATTCTTGCTATCTACAAAATTACCAAATTCTTGATCCAAATTTCTGGTATGATGATTTTCCTTACAACCGTCATCAACCTTTAAAACTAGAAAACCCAAACTTCAAGTCATTCATCCTAAATTTGAGACCTCTTACAGAGCTCTACTTGGATAGTGTGAACATTTCAACTCAAAGTACTAAATGGTGTGAAGCCACATCCATAGCACTTCATAACCTACATGTGCTAAGTCTGTCGAATTGTGGTTTGACAGGTCCATTTTGTTCTTCACTCTCAAGACTTCCTTTTCTTTCCAAACTTTTCCTTGGTGGGAATTCGATCTCTTATTTGCCTCCTAATTTCTTGGAAATTTCCTCTCGTTTGGTTTCTCTCAGTTTAGTGAATTGCAATTTGAGTGGGCATTTTCCAATAGAAGTTTTCTTATTACCAAAAATCCAAAGCATTGACATTTCAGAAAATGACAATCTTGGAGGTCAGTTGCCAGAATTTCCATTAAACAATGCTTTACGGATCTTAACGATGTCTTATACAAATTTCAGTGGAAAATTACCAGAATCAATTGGTAATCTCAAGTTCTTGTCAAATTTAAATCTTAATGGTTGCAATTTCTGTGGACAAATTCCATCTTCAATTGCAAATCTTACTAATCTTGTGGAACTGGATCTGTTCAATAACAATTTCAGTGGTTCTATCCCTGCATTTCACAGATCTGGAGTTCCAAATCTTGCATATCTTAATTTGGGGGGAAACTACCTCTCTGGATCAATATATTCTTCTTTATTTACTCTCCCATCTTTGCAGACCTTGCATCTTAGTGGAAATCAATTGTTTGGTGAAATTGATGAGTTTCTTAATGCATCTTCTTCTTTGATTGAAGCACTGGATTTAGGCTACAATAGCTTTAGTTCCGTGAAGCTTGACATGTTCTCCAAACTCAAAAACTTAAGGTTTCTTGGCCTTTCCAATACGAGCTTGTCAATCGAAAGCAACATCACAAGCCTTGCTTTTCCCCGATTAGAGTGGCTAGACCTAAATTCATGTAACCTTACTGAATTTCCAGAATTCATCAAAACTCAAGACAAGTTGGTTTTTCTAGGTCTTTCTAACAACCAAATCCATGGTTTTGTGCCTAATTGGTTATGGAAGACCACTCTTTTCTGGTTAGACCTTTCTTTCAATGCGATTGATTTTTCAAAAGAGTTTCCTTTTGGTGACGCAAACTCCTCTTTTCCAATGTTGAGATTCTTGTTTTTACAATTCTGTAACCTAAGTATGTTTCCAGAGTTTTTAAGTCAAACTAGTTTAGAATATCTTGTCCTTTCAAATAACAAAATAAGTGGTGCAGTGCCAAACTGGGTGTGGAAGAAAAGTTTGCGGTATCTGGATCTTTCTAACAATTCTCTCTCATCTTTGGACCAATTTTCTCTGAACCAATCTCTAACTTCTTCACAAGGCTCTTTATCAAGACCTATTTGCAATTTGAGTCAACTTGTGACCTTTAATGCATCCTTTAACAAATTAAGCGGGCCAATCCCAAGTTGCTTGGGCAATATCCGTTTTCTCGACACTTTGGATCTACAAAAAAATAATTTCAATGGCAGCATACCAGATTTTGCAAAAGCGACGCAATTATATTGGCTTCAACTCAATGATAATAAATTGGAAGGGAAGTTGCCAAGGTCATTAGCCAATTGCACAATGCTCCAAGTTTTAAACCTTGGAAACAATACTCTGCATGACACATTCCCTTTGTGGTTGGGAAAATTGCCTGCGTTGATGATCCTTGTATTGCGAGCAAATAGGCTTTATGGTCCAATTAAACATGTGAAAAATTGTTTTCAAGACTTAGATGCACTAGATATTGCTTTCAATAATTTTTCTGGTCAATTGCCAATTGAATTCTTTCAAGCTCCTCAACTAAGGTCACTCAAAATTGGTGGGAATAAACTGGAAGGAAAGTTGCCAAGGTCATTAGCCTATTGCAAAAAGCTTGAAGTTTTGGACGTTGGAAAAAATATGATACAAGACACATTTCCTTTTTGGTTGGAGAAATTGCCTTCTTTAAAGGTTCTTGTATTAAGAGCAAATAGATTCTATGGTCCAGCTAAAACTTCTGAGGATGAAAATGCTTTTCCAGAGTTACACATATTGGACCTTGCTTCCAATAACTTTTCAGGTGAGTTATCTATTGGATTTTTTCGATCTTTGAAGGCAATGAAGACGATGACTGATGGCAAGAAAGCTAAGCCAGATTACATTGGAGACAAGTACTACCAGGACTCCCTGACAATTGTGAATAAAGGGTTTGAAATTTTTTACAAGAAAATCTTAACCATCTTTGTTTGTCTCGACCTTTCCAATAATAGTTTCCATGGGAGAATACCGGAGGAAATACAAAACCTCAAGTCACTCAAAGCGCTAAACTTCTCCTACAACAGCTTCCTTGGCCCAATCCCTTCAGCACTTGGAAACTTAACTGAGCTTGAGTCGTTGGACCTCTCCCAGAACAACCTCTCAGGAAAGATTCCTCCACAGCTTGCAAGCCTAACTTTTCTTGAAGTATTGAATCTCTCTTACAACCAACTTGAGGGAAGCATACCACAAAGCTACCAATTTGGTACATTTCCAAACGATTCTTACAAAGGGAACCCAAGATTGTGTGGACCGCCTTTGACAAAGAAATGCAATGAAGTTGGTCTTGGAATGCAACCCCCTAAGGAAGATGAAGATTCATTGGTAGATGGTATATCTATTTGGAAAATCGTATTGATTGGGTATGGATGTGGTTTGGTGATTGGGTTATCTATTGGATATACAGTGTTGAATGAGATGGGAAACAAATGGATGGATAGGTTTACATGGAATCGGAATAAAACATGGAGAAGATCTTCTAGGTGACTCCATCAAAACTCAAGTTTCAAATTCATTTGGTAAGTATTCTAGAATATTTAATCACTCAAAAGTTTTTTTATTAGTTCTTTCAACTGTAGTTAATTGTCTAAACAAATAAAATTATTTAAATACTCTCGTGCATTATAAATGTGATATATATATATAATTGCTCTAATTGATATTTGATTAAAGTGATTACTTTTGAAATTTAATTAAAGAAGGTTTCAACTTTGTACGACTTATTTCCTTTTTAAACTTGGCATTGCTTTTAAAACTGAAAACAAAAATTGCCTGCAACCTAGGATATGTCCTTTGAATTCCTAACCTCATTTTATAAATGACAATCATGAGTTTCCAAGTTACTAATTTGTAAAAGACATGTGGGTGACTGGCATTTTGAGTTAGATTGGGCTGTCAATCATCTTAACAGCAAAGCAAAGCTTCGGCATTTATTTTCCTTAATTAGATTGGCTTGGGATGCTCATGTATATTGTATTTGGCAGGAGCACAATCTAAGGAAGTTTGGCAGGCCATCTAAAGATATAGAAGCTATTGTTTCAACTATCAGAAGTTACTTTTCGCTTAGTTCAATAACAAGATTGCAGTCTTCAGTTGCACTCTTCCTCTTCAACAACAGAAATTATGTCTGAATGTTTTTGGCTTGGTGTTACGGTACTTGTGTCTCAGTTCTTTCTCTTCTGCTCACCTAAGATGAGTGGCAGCATGTGTGGTTGTATTGTGCTTGTCTTCTGTTCTGTCTATAAGGTGGTGTTTTACTGCAGAGGTATGGGGCTCCCCTGTTGTTCACCCCATTGTGTAACTCTGTTTTTATTAATAATTTCTGGCTTAGCAAAAGAAAAATGTGTCTGAATTGGGGAATGGTTCCTTAATGTTGCTTAGTTTGATTACATTGCAAAAGTTAGATTTTTCTTGGACATTTGTAACGTTTTGATAGCTTACTGTTTACTTGTAGCAAGTCTAATGCTTTGTTTGGGTTAATAAAAATCATTCACCCAAAGAAATTCTTAACGAAAATCTTATTATCTTCTAAGCTCTTCATTATTGTTATACCTAAGAGATCATATTAGCAGCCACATAGTAGGTCTTACACATGAAAACCCAGTTTGCGACGTCATCATCTAAAAGGTATAAAAAGTAGAACCAGACCAGACAGATGATTCACTACTGAACTCTCTCTACTCTCTTTAACTGCTTCTTACTCTCTCTCATTTACTTGCTTGTGGTATACCTTACTAACTTGAGCGTTGGGGAATGCCTCAAAATAACATTTTTGGCACACTGACTTCCTACCATGTGATAGGTCACACAAACTCTCCTTCTCAACCTCCAGTAAAACTTTCGACTATCAGACCAGGAATTACATCAACAATATCAAGTATTCAACTCAACTATTTGCCGTGCAGGTATTTGATATAAGCCATGGCATGTACAACAATGACTACGCCTACCACTTTAGCTGCCAAAACTAGAAAGTACATCTCCTAACACAGAAAAATCTTCACAGACCAAGCTCAAGCTAAGATGCTTTATTCCTTTATTAACTGCTACATCACTACAGAGAAAAAAACAACGAAAAGAAAATAACAAAGCTTCCAGTTCCAGGTATCAAGCTCGACAATTCCGAACTAACTTTGATAGTATTTTATTGTCCCTAACAACTATAGATTTGACCATGGCGAGAAAGATTGATATATTTCCTTTATTATTTTATTCAACTTTAATCCCATATCATCTTTTGTTTCTTTGCTTCAGCACTCCCACAGACAAAAACAAATGGTTTGTTGTAAGCTTTATTGCTATATGATTGATTTGCATGTAGAATAGACCTTGACTAAACAAAAACATGAGGGCAATACATTCAGTAACTTATATATACTCACTTCTCTAGAATGCCAATGAATCCTTTCAGTAACTTATTCTCTATCTAATAGAAATAAAGCGTCATAACTAAATAGCCAATATTCACATTGATGTGCTAAGTGTTCTGATATAGCCACTAATCCATAATTAAAAGATGAAGTAATAGACGACATGCTATCTTTCAATCACTGGTCATTTTATAGGTAGTATTTTCTCTAGTAGCCACCTTGATGCTGTAAACCAGGAAGGTTGTCAAGCCTTCTGACATTTAGCCTATTTTGAGTATTAGCTCAGAATTTATGTTTAGAAGATTGGTGCAGGTAAAAAGATATCTGATGACTTTGGGGTTGACAAAAGCCACATTGGACAGAGTGATCATGCATATATGAAGACTTTGCCGCTAGAGGCTTTCTCCTACAAGTGTCCTCGTGCGGCCCTGAGTTCTTGCTCATTTGAATCCTTCTCTAACTACAAATGTAAGTATCAACTAGAAAAATAGTTTATTCTTATGAATTCAGTCATTTGAAAATTTTACAGGGAAACAAGAAAACAAAAACTCATGCTAAAAAAGAAAATTTTAGAGGGAAAAAAGGAAACAAAAAGATTACTATTTCTTGAGTTTAAGTTTAGGTTTGCTACCTAATTTCACTTTTTTTTTTAATTTAATGCAGGACCTGTATTTTTCCAGGAAGAAAACCAATCATTAATGTTTTCTATGCTTTGGAATTGGATACCACAAAAAATCACAGCTTCCACTAGCCATCCCTACCCAATTGAAACTACCTGCAATCCAACATTCTTAAACTCTTTGAAGTAACATCCTAGATCCTACCAGTATGTGTCATCGAGACCTGGATTCTGATCTGATCAGGCTGAATTCAAGGCCATTACGAAGGTTGTGAAGTTGGATGCTGATTCTTGGAAAGTTAATACTGGATTGCACTGCTATCTCTAGGTAGAAGAAATGCTACTTCATGGGTTAAAGGCAGCAATAGGGTTTGTTGGCATATTAGGAATGCCAATTTTGTATATAAATCACAAGTTTTACAGTTGTCTACTCATTCAGTTGTTTTCGACAACTCTTGGAACTGCATGTAAAAACTTAAAACTTACTCTGCTTAATACAATAACTCAACTCATAAGTCAGTTGTGGAATGACGCAGAAAAAATGCTTACCTAAATTCTAACGCACATGCCTGCAGCAACAATGATTTTAAAGAGCTCATCATTCCAAAATTCCACCAAGCTCAAGCAGGGAAATGATTTCGATTAATCAGGTATTCAGACAAGTGAATCTTCCACTACAACACTAAACAAAGAAATAAAAGTGTTCGTGACAGCAGGAGTTGAAGCAAAGCATCAATGGATACTTATCTGGTGAGCAGTATTGAAAATGCCAAGGGTGGGTTAGTTGCATACAAAGCATTTCTTATTCTTTGCATGATGCTGAAAAACCAAAAGATGCAGTTGGTTATTTTACATTCGAATGAGAATAAAATGTAAACTATACTGACATGAGGCACCAAAAGTTGACAATGTAAAGTTAAAATATGTTCTATTTCTACAGCTGAAAAACAGTTGGTCCGCATAAAATATTCTTTGTATGTATGTAACCAAAAGTAACGCATCAACAACAAATGTTAAAAAAACTAATAGATATTAAGCTAGCACAAAAAAGATATTAAAAAAATTAATCTACATGAAAAGGCATATGTGGGTACCTTTAGAGCACAATGCTCACAGAAGTAGTGGTTGCACGTAGTAACAACAGGATCCACAAAAGGCTGCAGGCAAATAAAACATGCAAAGGGCAACGAATCATCATCGTCATCATCACTCTGGTCTACCCCTGCCTCATCATCATCATCATCGCCACCCAAAGCCAGATTTCTCTTCCTTGCTTTCTGTGCTTCTTCCAAGTCCTTTTCTAACAGCCATCCAGACTTGTAGTATCCACTATCATGCATAAACTTACATGATTCTCCATAACCACGGTAACCAGTTTCTTTGTAGTCTTTACAGATGTCAGGCTGATAATCAAATCTTGCTGAAACACTGATGTGGGCAGAAGCCCTAATAGGTCGATGTGAGCCACCAGCTTTCTCACTGGCACCTGTTTGCTCTCTTTGAAACCCAGCCTTATGATCCACATAGCCATGCATTCCTTTATACAACTTCTCTTCCCCAGAGCTTGTGTTTTTCCCCTTGAAAGACTCCTCTGCTCGTTTAAGAACTTTTTCATGTATCGCACGAGCATCTTTTGTAAACTCAGTCTCAGTTTCTAAGGTTGCTGTAGCTCTGCTATCATTTTGAACTTGAATTTCCTTCAAAGACTTAAATTGAAAAATCAGTTTGTCAGATTCTGTATTTGATTCAGTGGGAGCAGCACTCCCGGAGGATCCAGTTGAAAAGCATAACATATTGTCAGGCTTCAAATCCTTTTTCTGATTGTGCAACAGAGATGTGCCATTTCTGGAGTCTTCATCTCCATTTGTTGTCCTTTTCCTTATGTTTTTGCCCTTTGTTGGCTTCCTAAAGAAATTGCAGACTGAAAAATCAAAGAGTTAGCTATATAAGTAAATATACATATACACCTTTAAAAAGAACAAAAAATGGAACAAATTTTACCTTGTTCAGATTGTTGAGGTTCTGTTTCAAATTGCTGAGTTCTTTTTCCTGGATACTGGGGCTCGCTTGAATCTGTCATCTTAACAGAAACAAGAGCAAAGGTTTTATAGGTTCCTTGCCTCAAGCAAGATGAACTTCAAGTCATTTACGACTGTTGCTTCAATCACTTGAAAGAAGGTTTTAAACTAAGTGAGTCAAAATCCTTATTACAATTAATTAAGATAATGAATGATAGAAGATCAACACACTAACTGGTGTCATAACTAAATTTCCATAGATAAGATCAAGCTTTCTCTCATGAAAGGCTAAATGCTAAATTTTTTACCCAAATCATAAATTTCTATTGATGTAAGAAAGTGAAGGAATTAAATTTTTTATCCTAATCACAAAATATTTACGGTAATCACCTGAACAAGAAGTCTAAAACGCAATGCCCAATATATTTACTATCACCCATGATTGAATAATCGGAATTGAAATTACTGAACAAGAAGAGATCATCCTTTGTCAAATATTGCATTCACCATTCCAACACTTACAAATCAAATGAGGCTAAAATCATAACTGAATACATCCTCCAAAAATTAAGAGAAAAATAACATTTTATTGGCTGGTCATACTGCTTGCAGAGCTCAAAAACTGCTCTGCAGAAATGTACAAGCCTTTTTGGATTGGAGAGATTGAATGATATTCAAAAACACATGGTCAATTTAAGAAGTTGACTAGAGAGCCCATATATTTTGGAACAACAACATGCTTTAAGGGCCATATGTAGGGAGGGAGAAATGTCTATAGCCTCAATATTTGATCAAAACTATTCTCTCCATTGCACTCACTAAACCACACACACTCACACACTGAGGTTCAAGCCTACATGGTAACATATGCAATTCTAAGTTAAAACACAACCTTTGGTGATCTACGAAAGTCCATGCAGATAGAAATTCAGATACAATTATTCTAAAACAGAGCATAAGATTAATTTCACAAAAATATTTAAACTCAAAACCTGTTCCTTTGCTATCCAATAATATTTGCCAATTCAGATGAACATAAAGGAGGAAAAGAAAATAACGGCAATAGTGGACAAACATTGTACCTGTTTTACTGAAACAATTGGGCAGAGATCACCAAACTTATAAAAAATGTTTGAGTAATTAATATCAAAAGACTCATATATCATTCCATTCTTCAGAATCCCAAGAGACTGGTTATTCCTTCTATGGAGCTGCATTCCATGTTTTGAAAAAATAGTGTCCGGAACACTGTTTGTTGGATCATCCCTCACCACATCTACAAATCCCACCATCCAAACAATACTAAATCATTCATAAATTATGAAAACACAGAAAGTGATGAATCAAATTTCACCAATAACAAAATATCAAAGCATATACCATGCCAATTTTCAAACCAAAAAACTCAACAATAGATTTCAATTGCTGACACTTTCAATCAATTCATCATACTCGAAGAAAGGTGTAATCTACCTAGACTAATCACCTTATATACATCTTCCATTCCAAAACATACCAAATCAAAACACCATAAATTGAACTTTCTTATCAAATACAACTTGAACACACACAAAGGGCAAATTTAAAAAAGAAGCAACCCATAAATGCAATTAACCTTTGCCAACCCAGATTTAAACACGAGATAAAATACCCATTACTCTTAACAATTTACTAGTCATAGTCAAAATGCTATATCTGCAAATACTGAAATGGCTCAGTTCATGGAAAAGTCAATAAAATCATATAACTGCAAAGCCCAAGTTCATAAAAGTAGCAATTTGTTACCATCTTTAGCAATTCTGATTCCACCAAGCTCTAGGACTGAGGAAGCCACTGGTTGTCTCCACTTTTTCATAGTAGACAGAGAAGCAGCAACAGAAGAAGAAGAGAAGGGTAAGAAAAAAGTGAACCGTTTGAAACCATTTATGTGGTGAAAAAGGTTGGCAGTTGAATGAGCAGTTGAAACTACTGCCATAAAGCCTCGGTTTTCCGTTTCAGAATGCTGGATTCTGTGAAGAGAAGAACAAGGATTAGTCAGTTTGGGCCTCATTCGTTTCAAAGGCACGATAAAATTAAAAATACGCTAATTATGTAAAATAAAAAAAACTTTGCTCATGGGATGCGCGTTCGACCCCTGCAACCTAACCATTAGTTAATTTCAAAATTTTATTAAAATATATAACATATTTTTGTTAGAGCAAAGGTCCTGCCAGCAAGGCTGAGGAAACAAAATAAAGAAACCGAAAGCCTATGCAAAGAATTGAGAAATCAAAAATCGATTAAAAATTATAATAAATTTTTTTATTTGATTCAGATCGAATATTAAATATTTTTATTCAATTCAAATGATTTTTGATTCATTAAATTAAAAAAATTTCAATCGAACTAAATTATATTTTTATTAATTTTTATACAAATTTTATTATTTTATAAAATAAAAATAATTTTTATTTTAAAATAAAGAGAAATCAAATTACATCAAAAAAATTATATTTTTTAATCATTAATTTCAATTGATACAAAAGATGGAATAAATAAATAAATAAATAATTTAATCTCATTTTTTAAATCAATTAAAATTAATAATTAAAAATATATATATAATTAAAAAATTTTATAGTGATCTAAGCTAATCATTCCCTTTTAAAAAATAATATAAAAATAATAATAAATAAATTTTTAAAAATCAATAAATTAAATCTAATTAATAAAATTCAATTCAAATTAATTCAATTTAAAAAAATCAATTCAAATTTAGATTAATTTTTTTAAAAAAATAATACTAAATATTAATCAAAATAATCAAACTGATTTCTTATCGGTCCAACTTGCTAGACACAATGCTTTAAATCGGACCAATAATCAAAACCTCTGGTTACTGTTTTAACCTGTTTGACTGGTTTGACCGATGGATCCAATATCATCCATAATTAATTTTTGAAGAATTTAAAAAAAAAAAGGAAAAATAAGGTAGAATCAGGAATATTTAGAAAAATAAAAAAATACTGCCCTTTTAAGGCTCTGTCTCTAATATTTTCATCAACGTAAAAGTAATCTTTCGCTAAAAAAAGTTTAGTTCACACTCAACTTTTTTTTTAAGCAACTTTTGAACGGCGGAAAAGATCCCTCTATAATAAGTTGTAGCGTAGCAGAGCATACCCATAAAAATATTACAAAAATTAATATTATGAATAATTTTAAATTATAATAAAATATTTAATATTATATTTAAATTTTAAAATTTTTTAATTTGATATTTAAATTCTAAATTTATTAATTAATTTAATTCTTATTTTTAATATGATAGTTCAAATATCGTATTAAAATTTTTTAAAATTTAAATATTATATTAAATATTTTATTATAATAATCATACAAAATAAAAAATGAGATCAATGAAAATTATTAATTTTATTTATTATTTTATGTGATTTAATAACTTAGTTTTATTCATATTGTAATTTAAGATGTATTAAAATCATATTATTAAAAAGGAATTGTAAATGGTTCAAAACAAAAACATGAGTACATCACTGCTTTTGATCTAACAAAGGAAGAATTCTTGGATATCCCTACGGTGATAGCTGATCATCATCCTATACATGGGTATCGATTGTTTTTGTATACAGTGTCGGATGCAAAGGTTGGAGTACAATGTTTATAGACGCTTCAAATATTAAAAAATAAAAAATAAAATTTGAAAGAAATTTTTTCTATAGACATCTTTAAAATTTTTTTCTAAACATCATTTTTACCAATAAAATTGATAAATTCATCGAAATAAATTTAATAGTATTAATAATTATTTTTGATTGATTGATTATTTAATTATTACATAATTTATATTTGATAATATTAATAATAATGTAATTATAATTTTTTTTCAAAATATAAGAACTTTAAATAATTATAATAATATAATAATATATTATTTCAAAATTATATTTATAATTTTTTATATATATTATAAGTAAATACTTAAAAAAAATCTATTACGGTATTGAGAGAGAAAAGGATATCTTTGCATGGTGCATATTGCACCAACATACGAAGTTTGGGTAATAGAAATATATGGCTAAAAATACTCTTGAAAACAAATCACTTTTAACCTTCAATTATGATTGTAAGTTGAAACCATTGAATTTTCCAAAGAGTGAAGAAGCTTTTTTTTTTTTTCTATAAAATTAGATCCACGTTTTGTCACGATATTATTTTTTATTTTTTAAATTATATCTTAAATGTAAGCAAAGTAAAATTTTTATATCAAATTTTCATAGATGATACAAATAGACAAATGTAATTGTATTTATTTTTCAATATAAATTACAATTTAATTATATAAATATGGTTTTTTATTAAATTATGATATTAAATAATATTTTTATTAATATAATAAATATAAATATAAATATAATAAATAATAAAATATATTCTTTTATATATCCAAAGGAGGTTCAAGACAGAATATATCAAAATTGATTTCGACTTGATCTAAATTGTATAAAGAAACAAAACTTAACTCAATCTTTATTTTTTAAAAAATCATATCAATTGGATTGTAATAAACCGAAACCTGTTAGATATAAGTTGTTTTGTCATTTTTACTTCTATGGACTCTTTTCTTTATAAAATTTATCTCATAAAAAATTTTAAAAAATGAAAATGACTAAAAAAACCAAATGGGGTGACAAATAAATTTATTAAATTAAAATATTAAATAATATGTTTTTAATAAAAAATATATATAAATATAGAATGAATATATAATAAAAAATATATTTTTTATACACATTCAAGCTGAAAACGTAATATTATAAATCTTATTCTTTCTTGAGCTCGATTTAAAAAAGAGCTCAATCCAATTATCTCAAATTAAAAGAATATGCACCAATTGAGTTGGAACCAATTGAAACCCATCATATATCGGTTATTTTGTCACCTCTATTTTAATTACCTTTTTTATTATAAAATTTATCTGATAAAAAATTAAAAGTAAAAAATTTTAAAAAAAGGAAATCCCAAAAATTGGAAGTTTTTTTTTTTTTTAAAAAAGATAGAAATATCATGTGGATAACAAGACAGAGTAAAACACTTTAAATCCATTTTCAACCTAAGTCTATTTTCAAAAAAAAAAAAAATCTTGATCCAATTTTAATTGACATTTTTATTAGATCTACTAAATTCGTATATTTACGTTGAACATATATAAAATACAAAAGTTATTATGTTACAATTCATATTAATATATTAAACACAATTTAATTTTTAGGTTTTTTTTTTTTTTATCAAACTCAAATGACTTTTGTTAAAATTTTAATTATATCGTTTTTGTGTCTTTTTTCTAATTGTGTTACCATATCATATTTAACATCATCATATGTAATTTTTTTTAACTATTAATAAATAATAATTAAGTATTTGTACTTAAAAAATAAGAAAAAAATGCATTGTACTTAAAATTAATAAGTCATCAAATTCATTATTACAAGTAGGTCAATCGGCTGGTCAGATTTTCTTTCTTAACAGGCTGATTAGTTTATTCATTGGCTGTTTCTTAACAAGTTTTTAATCATAATCTCTACAATTCAAGCAAAATGTGAGACTAAAAATATTATGTATGGCTAATCATTCTAAAAAGCAATCATCAAATTAGTTAAATAGGTGTTTTGATGAGTGAGTAAGTTGCACATTCAACTCTTTCATACGCGTTTAAATCACTTTCTTAGTACTAAGTTTAAAAAAAAAAGGAATATTATAGTTTTTGAAATCAACAAAAACACGTTTTTATTTTAAATTATTAACTTACTTCGAAATAAAAGGTTTCGGCAATAGCAATATAATCTTCGTATCTTGATTTCACTCTTTTTGCCTACCTTATTTCTCTTTTCATGCTTTGTATCTCTTATTCTATCTTTTTACTCTTCTCCTACTGATCTTCAAAACCAGTGCCTTGATGACCAAAAAACTGCTCTCCTGCAATTGCACCATGATCTTTACTATGCCCCGAATTTTACTTTCTCTGCCAAGGTTGAGCTTTAGGATCCCAACACTGATTGTTGCTCTTGGAAAGGAATTTCATGTGATGCTCTTGGTTATGTGATTGGGGTTGATCTCAGTTACAAAAATCTTTCAGGCTGCTTTCACTCCATTTTCAATCTCCATCATCTTCAACGTCTTAATATTGCTGGAAACAATTTTAATACCACTCTGTTTCAATATAAGTTTGACAGACTCATAAATTTAACTCATCTCAATCTTTCAAACTCATGTTTCCATGACCAAATTTCAGTGGGGATTTCATACGAGACAAAGTTTGTCTCTCTTGATCTATCTAATCAAGATTCTTTCTATCTAAGATATTTGCAAATTCTTGATCCAAACCATCTGCCTTTTCAACTTGAACAACCTCTGAAACTAAAAAACGCAAACTTCAAGACATTAATACAAATTTTGAAACATCTTACAGAGCTCTACTTGGATAGTGTGAACATTTCAAGTCAAAGTACTAAATGGTGTGAACCACATCCATAATACTTCCTAACCTGCATGTGTTAAGTCTATCAAACTATAGTTTGACAGGGCCATTTTGTTCTTCATTCTCAAAACTTCCTTTCTTTCCAGATTTGTCCTTCGTGGGAATTCGATCTCTTACTTGCTTCCCAATTTCTCGAAAATTTCCTCTCGTTTGGTTTCTCTCAATTTAATGAATTGTAATTTGAGTGGACATTTTCCAACAAAAGTTTTCTCATTGCCAAAAATACAAAGCATTGACATTTTAAAAAATTACAATCTTGAAGGTCAGTTGCCAGAATTTCCATTAAACAATGCTTTACGGATCTTAAGGATTTTTTCTGTAAATTTCG